GGGGTACCCCTTCAAATTTCGCGAAATTTTCGTTTTTTGCCCATAACTCCCAAACGGATGGACTTAGGGGGACATTTATAGGACCATTTTGTAGAGGACGATGAGATCTATAATTTCCATGTAAAAATTTTTCGCTAGCTTCAATAGTTTACGAGTAATTTGCAAAAAACTGTTTTTTCGTTTTTTGCACATAACTCGTAAACTATTAATGCTAGCGAGAAACTTTGATATAGAAATTATAGATCTCGTCGTCCTCTACAAGAAAGGTCCTATGCAATTTTCCCATATCTCCAAGGGTTTAAGAGTTATTGAGGAAAAACGAAATTTTTTTCCAAAAGTTCGCCGTTTCGACGGTGGAATGGTCGGATTTTGTCAACATCAATAAAATGCCAAATAATCATACTTAACTCACTAAATATCGAAATTAAAAGAAAAGTGCACTATTTTTAATTACAGGAAATGCGTTTTTCTAAGATACATAAATTTTTGGTATTGACTATATAGCCAATACATCTTTAAACCGATTAACTTCATTGCATACGATAATTACTTTCTTAAAGCTTACCTGGAATTCGAGAAAGTTGCATGAGGTATTTGAGCAAGATTGTTCCTACTAAGATCCAATCTCTGTAATCTGATGTTCTCCTGAAAGATATCCGGTCTTAGAACTTCTAAACGATTGCCTCGGAGATTTAAATCCATTAGCGATCTCAATGGCCTGAAACTCCGACCGTGTAGGGTGACCAGTCGATTGTATCTCAAATCCAATTGTTCTAATCTCGACAAATTATCGAAGGCACCGTCCTCCAAGATTCGCAGAGAATTGTAACCGAAGTTTAATTTTCTCAAATTCGGCAGATCGGCCAGACTGCCAGGTAATATGCGCTCAATTCCATTCGCGCTGAGATCCAGCGATCTCAGAACCGGAAGGTCCAAATCTTGAGAGGACACGGCTGGTAAAGCGACAATGCGATTCATAGGCATGTAAAGATGCTCTATGTTCCTCGGTAAGCCTGGTACTATTTCGAGCATCCTGTTCCAACCGATGTCCAGCTCATAAAGATTGTTCAAATGATGAAATGTTAACGGGTGAATAACGGAAAGCGCGTTTCCAGAAATGTTGATGTACTCTAGTGCCGGTGTGCCCAAGAACGAGTCGGGTTCTATGAGGCCGACCGCGTTTCCGCTGATGTCTAAACGTCTCAAATTTGGCAGATTTGCTAGTAAACGGGGCTCAATGTGACGAAAGTAATTCCCAGACAGATCTAGTCCCTGAAATTAGTAGTGATACCTTACAATTAAGACAGAGTTTTAAAGATATTTGATTAATTTACGGCTGAGCAGTTATCATGTCTTTAGTATTGTCATCCTTATAGATACTCAAATTATTTTATGCCCCACGTTAAAATCTCTTAGCGTCAATAATAACGTATTTGTATAAGTTGCACGTATTATAACATCTTGAGAATTAGCTGATTGTAAGACATAGTCGTCGTTAAGCGCACTTACTTTTAACGCTGGCAAGTTCCAGAATGGCGCTTCCAATAAGTTTGACAAAGAATTATTTTTTAATCGTAATTCCCGAAGAGCAGGCATCGCGGTGAAGGTTTCTCTTTGGAGGAAGGCCACCCGATTATGGTCAAGGTGAAGTCTCTCTAACGTGGGATGTCCTCTTAACGCACCAAACGGTATCTCTTCAATTTGATTGTGACTAACGTCGAGGAATTTTAATCGTGGCAAAGCCTCCATCAGCGATCTCAGTTCGGTCACGTGGCTCAAATCATTGTTGATTAACCAAATTTCTTCCAGGACGTTTCCAGGTCCGCGTGGGAAGAATTCAGGATGCACCCGATGTATTAAGTTGTGATTAAGATCTACAACCTTCAACGCTGGCATTCTTTGAAACGCTCCAGCGAATACCTCGGTAATCAGATTCCTCGATAAGTATAAGCGGGAGAGAACGGGCAAATCTGTGAAAGTTCCTTCGCCGAGACGGTTCATCCGATTTCTGTCCAGACGTATCACGGAAAGGGAAGGTAGATCCATGCAAACGCGACCGATCATATTAGCGTCCACGATCGAATTCCCGATCAATGAGATTTCTTTCAGTTCTGGCAAATCTATTAACGACCGAGGATGAACCCAATGGATTCCACAATCGGTGATATTCACTATTTGTAATCGGGGCAAGTCTCGGAAGACACCGGCCTCTAATCGTATCAGACGCGGACTACCAAACACGTGAAGCTGTTCCAAATTTGGTAAATCTCGAAAGTTTCTTGGCGCTAGTTCCAATAAAGCTGGCGAATTTATTTGAAGATACCTAAGTTTTGAAAGCCCGGAGAATCTCGGTAGTTTCTTCATCACTTTGCTCTGCAAGGTCACTGCTTCCAATCCGTGCAGATTTTCGAGACTGTCCACTGGTAAAGAACGTAAATCCGATTCCACGACGAACAACTCTAACAGGGAATCGTGGAGTCCTTCTAACCATCCTGACGATACTCTCTCGAGACGATTATTTCGGAGCATTAAACGAAGAACGCGTAAAGTAGCAAAAACTTTGCCTGGCAGACTAGGCAGATTATTGTTCTCCAGGATCAATTCATCTACTGGCCGATCCAAATAATGGCTCACAGCCCGTAGACCCTCGAGGACTTTCGGTAACTCACTATGGCTGCACCTGTTCAAGAACAGATAAGAAATAGCTTTGATGCATTGAACTTCTCATTTCACAAAAGAATTCTATTTGGCATTTATTCTCCTTGTATGGTA